AATCCACTATCCAATCATAGAACAAGTTTTGGCTCAAGTGTAAGTGATAATGATCATCCACGTCGACGAGCTGTTGAGCCTGCCTATTCTTTTGTGGGAATGCACTGCGTCTTTGATCAAAGCAAAGCCTCTGGTATTATTGAATCCAATATAGACTATCTACTCCCATGTCACTGTTACTGATCCAGAAGTCTTGTTTTTACTTGGAAGTAATCCTGAAAATATTAATGTGTAGTTACCGTTTTGAAGTTTGGGCACATGAGATCTGACCTGCTTGCTTATGGGGCATCAGATGGTACCTTGACAGTATGCACTGTCTCTGAGGAACCTTCAATCCTTAAACAATTACATGGGCATTCCAAAGATGTTACAGGTTGGATAGACTGGTATTGATTCTGTGGTCTTTACCTATGTCTTACACAAGATATGTGACACTATCACCTAGTCTGCAGTATATTGGTTGCTAGGTTTTATCCATTCTTTCTGCTTTTCATATTACCGAAGAATTACTATCCTTTAAAAAAGTTATGTGCCTGTTAATCAGAATTTTAGGAATGTAGCAGTTAATAACATAACAGTTTGGCAACAGTAGGCTACCAGCGTTGAGCATATTGTGTCAGCACATTGTTTTGTGGCACATCATATGCTGTACATTAAATTCTTTAGTATATTAAGATGCCCAATTTTGGTATTCTTCTTTTGATGTTAACTTTTATCATATAAATATTTCACCAATGCTCTCTTCTGATGCTGGCTTATTTTCAGATTTTGATTTTTCATCGAACAATCAGTATATTGCATCATCTTCATTGGATAAAACTGTAAGAGTGTGGGAGATAGCTAAAGGAATTTGCATACGGGTGATATACAGAGTTTCTTCTCAATTGTGTATCCGTTTCCACCCTGTAAGTGGAACATACATGCTATCCTTCTAAGCTGTATGTGGAGGACCGTGTGGTCGCTTTTTTATAGTGGGGCAGAATGCTCTCTCTCCTTAGTTTGGAAAAGAACTTGAGAATAATAGATATTATGGTACCGTGATCAATAATTTAACTTCTTATTTTCTTTTTTTTAGTATGAAAGGCAAGCCAAAGCTTGAAATAACAAAAGAGGCCTAACTTAGGCCAAGTCTGTCCAAAAGCAGTAAATCAGCACAATAATAATTTAACTTCTAAACATAAGTGGAACAGCAAATTATGTTCTCCATCTCTTTCTCCTTACATGTGTTTGGGCGTGTTTTAACTGGCCATTTTCCCCCTCCCTCCTGTTTGTGTCCTCAAACTATTCTCACATTGCAAATGACTTGAAGCATAAAAAGGGGAAAGCCTAAGCCTTACTGTGGACAAGGATAATTTTTTATTGGTGACTTAAAATCTCTCATCTATTTGGCGAGGGACGAAGATGTTCACTGGGATCATGTTTGGAGGCAGTATATGCTTACCCAAAAGACTGCCTCAAAATGCAGCGGGACTATTTTGATAGCTTAGAGTGCACTTACACATGTTTGCATTATTTATTCTTTTCTTTTATCTTTGCTACTGGAGGCTAAATTTTCTTGGCGGTGCAGGTAAATAACAACTTTCTTTCAGTTGGCAATGCAAACAAAGAAATCAATGTAATCACTTTTTACTTTTGCCTGCTATGAAAGAAGTATAGTAATATATCTGACACTACCTTTACTACAATTCTTTCACTGAATCATGTTGATCTTGCTCAGTTCCATCTTTTATCTGTAAGATCTGATGCCATTGAATCATGACATAATAGGATGGTGCTATTTGCTATGTGTTCTTCATAGAATACAGAACAAATTATTGTTGTGCTTGGTTAAGTACGCTGATTGGTCTTTACTGAATACGGGAATTATGCTCTGTTTGAATCTATACTCTCTGTGGCCGGAAAAAAATAATCTACTCTCTCATGCACGCACTTTACTTGAAATATTATTGAGACAATTTTCCAAAAAAAATCACACTGGTGTCTTGGCTTCTTTTTAAAATTTTCAAACATAATCTTAATCCTGATTCTATATATTACTCTAACCTTGTGATTGAGTCAACTGCTGAGGTATGGTTACAATGACCCACTTAAAGGAGTTATGAGGAAGAAAATGTTTCTTTGGCCACTGGAAAATGAGTAATACAATAATAGTTAACTGAATATGCAGTGCTCTCATCATTTTACCCCACATTATGAATATTATTGTTTACTAATGCATGAACACGTACAGCTCTCTCTGTGCACACCCTCTCCCCCCCCAAAAATCTATGCTATTATGTTTTCCCATTTTCAGTGATCTTACCAGTTTGACTAAGTATTATACTAATCCATCTTTATAAAAATTAATTTATATGCCAGGTGTTCAATTTCAGTACCGGAAGGATAATTAATAAAACAGTATTTGACAGTGAAGTTACCTCTATGGACCATGATCATACAGGAAATCTCATATTTTGTGGGGATGGACAGGTGAGCAGCTATATACATGCAAATGTATATCTCTTCTAATAGGTTTAATCTCTATATTTTTTCAATCTTCTGGCTTGTATGTTCAGGGGTGTGTCTACTCAGTAACTATGAATTCCCACACTGGGGCCTTATCCCGATCTCATCGTCATCGAAGTGGCACTTGGCACAAATCTCCTGTCACAACACTGCAGTATAGAAGTTTCTCTCTGCTGGCTGGTGGACCAGTGTTGCTTGCATGTGCTCAGGACGGAAATCTATCTTTCTTCAGGTTTAACCATACCTTTCCCATAACCTCCAATTTCATTTGGTTGACCTCATTATTTTGTTTTGAAGCACTTACTAGAATTTGGCATGTTATAGCGTGGCTTTGGAGGTAAAAGGTTATTTAACTCTTCGCTGCTCACTGAAATTAGCTCCACGCATTCACAGCATTCGAGCTTCGTTTTGCCCTCTTCTGTCTCTTGAGAAAGGAGAATTCATTGGTATGTTTGTATTTAGGGACAATTACATTGAAGTCTCACATTAGGAAATTAATTACTACAAGATCCATTGGCAACTGATTGTGTTGTCAATATAGTTTAGTTCGATTGTCAATAAACCTTGCAGTAATTAATTTCTTTATATGGGACCTGGTTGTAATTCTCCCTTGTATTTATTTGCAGCATTTTCTTTCACTTATTTCTCTTCATTTTCTTGAATGATTTCTGGTGAAGCCGCTTTCAAGTGTTTCTAGTTGAAAGATTGTTGATATTTATTACCGATTTGTCACAATGGCATTATTTTCTGACACCATCCTTTTGGCCATGAGAAGTTGCCGGAAGTGAGGACTCAAATGTCTATTTCTATGATTTAACACGACCGAGGCATACATGCGTAAACAAGCTACAGGTTCATCTTATTATCATTTGAGGTATTGGTGTTGTTAATTATATTCCCAAAATGACAAGAATTCTTGTGCAGGGTCATCGCTTTCCAGTCATAGGTATTGCCTGGAACTATGGAGAAAACTTCCTGGCTTCATCTGATTTTTATGGCACAGTAATCGTATGGAAGAGAGCAAGGACAGATCTAGAAAATAATATATAGCAACATTTATTTAAAACAGCTTAATATTCTCTAAAATAGTTTTGTTAACATCCCGATTTTTCCGTTTCATTTCACATTTTCAAGTCCTTTGTATTCTTTTGTTCTAAGATTCTTGGGTTTACCACTTTGTTTTCTGTATGCTTCCATCGCCGCGGGAAACAGATGAAAAATGTATTATGTCAAGACATGATTGGGGATGTGCATCCGCATTTGGTGAACATGGTTTCGTTGGCAAGAATAAAAAGAACATGGTTTCAAAATCGTCCCCAGGAAGCATATATTTGAGAATTGGATGCAGTGCGTATCTTGTGTCAATTTTGTTTTTGTTTGGGATCGAAATGTTCCATTCAAAAAGAAAAAAGAAAAAGAAAAACGAGATGGAAATCAGTGGCCTCCATTTGATTTTGAGTGGAATAAAATGACACTTCATGACTCAGCATTGACATTATTGATAGCTGAAGACTACTAAAAATTAGAACTTCTAGCGATTAAGGCAAATAATAATTAAGAAAAATATAACTTTAGATTTTTACATTTTATTTGTATTTTGTTATTGTTCTCTGCATTTTTTTGATATTTTAAATTTTAAAACAATAAAAAATGAAAATATAAGAATTTAAAATATAAAAAAAATATAGAGACTAATAGTGATAACAAAATATAAGCAAAGTGTGAAAATTTAAAATTATATTTTTTTAATAATTAATATATTCAATTATTTTCGGTAGGAAGATATTTTAAATTTTGATATCATTGCCGCATTCTCTTTTAATGTATTAAGTATTTTCGAATTTGATGTTCGCGTAAAGCGATGGAAACCCCAAGCTAAAAGCTCTGTTTTGGTGCGTGAACTAAATCCTCCGAGAATTTGAAAAAACAATTTAAAATTATAGTTCTACATTAAAAAATATCTAACAAATATTTCATATTCTAAAATGATACATTAACCCATTGGCCAAAATAAAAAAAAACCCTTGTGCCGACAAACAAACAAAAAAAAAATCAACTTTCTGAAAATTTGATAGTGTGAATAACTCTCATTGATATATAAAAAATTTATAATTCATATACAAAATATTTATCATTTATATGTAAAATCTTTATCATTGAAAATTAAAAAATTTACAAAAAAAATTACCATTAATATATAACAATATATTATTAATAAATATAATAAATCAGCTACAATACAATATATTAAATATTAACCTATTTACCTAATTTGATCTTATAACATAAATTATATTTGCAAATACTCCATTCTAAAAATATTCAAGAAATTTCAAAACCGAAAGCTCATGTAATGCACGCCTAGAAAAAAAAAGTACAATAAATTTCAAATTAAAATTTTAATTTTAAAATCTTTCATCATGATTCTACATTAAAATAATGCCAAAATATGAAGTCAACTCGGCACTCTTAAAAAAAGTTTTCCTTCAACAAAAGAAAAATAAAAGTCCTGCACTGCTCATAAATAAGTCAAGAAACTTTACAGCAGTCCTAGTATGAACAAGGACGGGAAGAGAGGAGAAGGAATCTACAATACATAATTACAAACAAGCAAACATCCTCTACTTCCAAAGTGAACAGGATAAGTCTTAAAACCAAACAGACACGACAAACATATTTCCAAACCGGTCCTTCTGTCAGTAGAAAAGTTACAGATTACTGCAGAAAATATTGCCTCCGTGTTTGTTTGGTACCTACCCAGGATCTGAAACGCAAGGTCTCCCACTTCCCCATCGTTGATCTATCTCATTCTATCCCTTCTTATGTACTATCACCTTCGACGGCGTTTTGAATCCACCTGAAGGTCCAGAAACAGCGTGAATATTAGAAAACAAGTGCTTCCTGTCCCTAATGAGACACGAGATTCTGAGAATTTGTTGAGCAAGTTCCTATCATGCTGGCATGCCATGTTTTAGTTATTCACCAGCAGAGAATTTTAAAGCATCATATAGGCTACCAATAATTAGCAAAAATAAATAAGCAAAGATGCGCATGTTGTGATGTCAAAATGAGACGATAGATTTCAAACTCGAGAAATAGTAATGATCAACCTAGGATACGAAGAGCTGCAAAGCAGTGGAATAAAAATTGATAAACAAAGAGACAACAGATCAAGACATCATGTATCTGCTTTCCAAGCATGAGGACGTCAATTACGATTAGGGGCTCAACAGAGACAATCAATTACCGAATAACACCACCTAAGAATACCTTTGTATCTGAATGTCTCGCAGGATGGGAATTTGGCAACTTATTTTGATTTTCCGCAGAACAACTCTCGCAGAAGAAGTGGTCAAGTCTTTTGGCTTCCTCCACAGTCATGTCTATACAAGCAGGATGAAACCTGGATCAAAAATATTTTGCTGAAGACAGCATTCATTCAAAGTCTAGCATCCCCACCATAGTCGCTTGGCTATGTTATGCATTCAAAACCTCTAAAAATATGCGGAAATGGCAACTATACATATTCAGACTAACAAACACAAAAATCAGTCCCAAGATCAATCTTCACAGTCCATTAACATGGTTTTACAACAAACCTGAAAAATTGATAGTGATTCTCAAATAAATTCAGAGATAATAACACTAAAATAGCGATCCATCAGTTGCTTATCGGTATGAGCTTGATAAGGAATGAGTAGAAATGGGGAGAGAGAATGAATCAAGAAGAGAAATAGGGTGTCTTCTAGAATCAGAATCTAATCCTAGAAGTAGGAAAATCTCCAAGAATATCTGAATAGTGCTTCATATATCCCCTAATAATTCATGACAAAGTAATTATAGTCAGCAACCAACTAATAACTTCCTGCTCCTAACTCAAACTGACAATAACAAGCTAATAACTTCCTCATCATAACTTAAATTGACAATAAGCAACTTAATACACTTGTGATAACCAACATAAAACATATGGTACTACAAATAGCTGACTCTAAACTGACTTTTCTTCAAAAATAGGACTACCACGCCTTTTCCTAGAGTAGACTAGTAAAGGACGCTGATTCATATCAATTATAGAGTAAAAATGAGCACCTTCTAGAAAGATAGACACGAGTGATGAGTAGACAGATATTGCTAAAGAATGGAATATTTCATCCTAAAACTTAGCATTTTAATTTAATCGTGTTGCATAAATTCATTAGGTGATCGGGATTTTTATAAGCTGGGTTAGATGAGTAAGTAGGGCTCATCCCTACACACAAATGCAGTCTATTCATCGATTAATCTTATTATGTACCCACTATATTGAGTTTCAATTTGATAATAACACAGCATATTCCTCTCTCATAATACAAAAGATTAGCTCCATCCTAAAAGCATTCAAGAGTGGCAAAATACGGTTAACACACAAAACATTCCCCACATTCTAGATCCTCGTTATCCTTACACAAATGTTCAAACATATTTTGATATCCATTTTGACGTAGGACCGTGAAATTGGCAGGCGCAATGTAGAGCAACAAGGGATCTTGCACATGCCTCTGGCAACCTGACTGGCAATGCTGAAGTGACCAATCCATATTGCCATTCGTATTCATATTTTACGAGTGAAAGGGTGTGCCTCTAATGCATTTTATATAAAGCTCAGTGATATGGACCCACCAAAAGTATATATATAAATGCTCGGTTAAATAACGAAACCAGTAAATTTTATAAAGAATATTGTTAATGTTATTTTTAAGCAATTACAAAAAACGTGTTGAGTAACCAAAATAAGGAAAGAATTAAATTGAGAGAGAGAGAGAGAGGGATACCAGATCAGAAAAAGACATGTCATGCCAAAGAAGAAATATAATGAATTCAGAAAATGAGAATAGCCTCCATTGCAGGGTTTATTTATTCATGCATAGATCTACACCATTTATATTTCTCTTCTTTATATTCATTGCACCAAACATAGATGCTCTATTTAATAATCAAGACACTGATTTGAAGATTTTCCAATTTTCCCATTTGACATTGAATCAGAAGATTGGACTTTAGTAATGCTTAGATCGGCACTGCAAGCATGTGAGGTTCCAGTTTCCACACTGATGCACATGACAACACCAATAAAACCAAACAACATGAAAGTCTAAAAATATTACTTCCTTTCAGTTTTAGGTAGTTATATGGTCATGTACAACTAGCAGTGTGCATAATCATAAGAAACTTATTTCATAAAATTACATTTGATACGACAGTAATCCAAACCATGACATTAAAATAAATGCAAACGCCAGTGCACATAAAAGTACATGCACACAAATGTACAAGCATGAAAATAGGAAAGGTAGCTTAGAAGAGCAGGAGTTAAATGACTAAGTTCCCAGAGATCAGCAGAAAATGTGAGAATAAAATGAGCCAGAACAACAATATATTATTGATGAATGACACATACTAGCTGCTTAAAAATTTCTAGCATTCACAATACGACAGAGTACTGAAACATTAGTTGAATGGATGGTCTAATGCTTTAAGAACTGGAAATTCACCTGAAAAACATATGCCTGTGTACTTCAAACTTACTTAGACAACATGTTCCCACATGCAACTAGAAGATAAGAGGTAAAACGGGTAGTAGAAGATTTATTGAAATCCATCGAGAAGACGCAAAGGTTCTTCAGAACTAAGACATAATACCATCTAGAAAGCAAACCAACACAAACATGGAACCTAAAACAAGCAATAGCATAGTAAAATAATGACATAGAGCTAGTATCACTGTACACATTTAACTTACCAATCACTACAGCCTTCACACTGGACCATTAGGTCATCAGGGTTGTAGGGCATCTCACATTTACAATACCTGCAATGAAAATATAAACGGTGAACACCAGATTCTAAAACTCCTAGATTCTAAGACCATGGTGCCATTTCAATGGCCCAATCGAAGAAGCAGATAAAAGCTACAAGACTAGTAGTAAAAAAAAACTTAATAAACATCATTAATGACTTGAGTAGCCATGTGACCTCACAAGTACCTGTGTGCAACCAATTTATGTTCCAGAACTACAATCCTAATTGATAGCTACATGCAGAAACGCTAACTAACGCTGATCAACTAGATAGATAGCTAACATCGGACACAACATTAAAATAGCTTCCTAATCATCAAATGAACAGTGAATTCATAAGGACAGACACACGAACTTAATATTTTGCATTCACGGTAGCAGAAGCTAGCATTATCTAGCAGCATCGTAGTCCAACAACATGCGCATGAAAAATGCGATGAAATTAACATACACGGCGACTCTATCAGGATTGAATGCTCCGGTGGCGGAATTATATTCGAAACGACAGAAGAAATCGTCATTTCCCACAGCATCGAGCTTCGTGTAGCCCTTAAAACTGTGAACCGTACACTTGCCTTCGATCGTGTCGGCGCTCTGAACATCAAAGTGATCAGAGAGGAAAACCTCCTTAGAACCGTGGAACTGGCGACGGCCACCGATAGACTCCTCTGGCCGATAGTACCAACGGACATGAACTTTAACGTTGGCACCTCGAGAGTCGGCCTCGATCCGCTCGATCCTAGCCACATAGGACGGCTTCGACGGCTCGGAGGGCCGCATAAGAACGCAGTCGCCGGCTGAGAACAGTGGAAAGAGCGCATATAAGGAGTGAATGCAAGAAATGGCGGAGGAAAAAAAAAGATCAAACAAATAAATTTTCGCAAGAAAATCGGAAGAGAATGAAAGAAGCTCAAAAAAGTAAGAGAAATTATATACCTCTAACAGTTTTGTTGATGTGTTTGACTGTGTATGACTCTAGGGTTCGTCTGGGAGCCTTCGGTTTAGCCATGGATGTGCACTACAATGGAGAGATGGAAGACGAAAAAGAGAAAAAAAATTATTTTTTTCCTTTTACAAATTTTAATTAATAATTGCAAATACCAAATTTGCAGGTTGTTACTTTTTTAAGTTTTGCTGCGTCGCGGACCTTATCAAGTTTTATATCCTGGTTATTATCAACGATTGTTTTTCTTGGCTCGCAGTACACGGAAAACCACTGGACGGTGATTATGAAGCTTAGGGTAGTTCCGTTATTATCTGAAAGTATGGGGGCTTTTACGCATGATATATAGAATGGACTGGATGGATTTTGTTATTAATATGGCACGCCCTCCTTTACAGCTTTACTGAAAAACAAGAGCGTCGAAGTTTCTAGTAAGTTCAGGCAATTCACAATGCGTTAACGCTTGAGCGTCGAGATAGAATTGCAAAATTAAACGACCATTCTTTAGTCAAGAAAGATTATTCCGGGATGATTTTCTAAATGTAATCGACTCAAAAGTATGATTGCTTTAATCCATTTTTTTTTGATTATTTTGATACGGCCTGAGTTATAATAAAAAATTGATTGTTTAACTTATTTTATGAAAAATTTCTTTCTAAAAAAAATTATGTGAATTTTTATTAATTTTTTAAATTTTTAAAAATAATCAAAATTTAAAAAAATATAAATTTTTTATTATTTTAAGAAGTTAGTAGCTTAAAATAATTTAATATAGTTAACAAGAAAATATGTTTTAAAGAGATAAAATACATAAAGATATTATAAAATTTTAAAATAATATGATAATAAATTATTTTTGTAAAATAAAAATAATAAAATTTAAAAATTTAAAAATAATTAAATAATAATTACTTTTTTATTATTGTAATCATATATAAAATAATATCTGTTTTTTATAAAATCCATATAAAATAAATTTTTTTTTTAATAAAATTTTTAAACTATCTAAAAATTACTTATTTTTTAATATTAAACAAACAGGACCGAATCTCATTTCAAGAGGCTAATCCTTTAACAACAAATTATGACCTAAATTATAATAACATGTTTGGTTTTTCATGTCCTAGTGCCACCAGAATATCATTTTGATGGACGCAAATGTTTGCCACAACTCGTTTATTGCTGCATGAATGAAAAGTTCTGTATCACTTCCTCAATTCATACTGTCAAATGAAATACTTGTGATGTCCAAGAGCAGACACGAAGAAGCCAAACAACACCCAAAACTGTGGCTTCTTTAAATAATAAATCAAAAATCGTCCTAAGAATTACGTTGCTAAAAAGGAAGTAAAAAAATAGCAGTGACAATTCTTAGCATGGTACAGAAGCCGGTGTTCCATAGCTAGCCAATACTAATTATGGTTCAAACCATTTTCTTAGCTGTTTGGAAGGTTTTTTCTCCCCATCATTCCCTGCGAACCCTGCTGTGAGAACTTCGATCTATATTGCTGTATGAGCATGTCAAGGTTATCTACCACGTCTTTCCCTACAGGTTCTTTATTCTTTTTTGATCGTTTCTTTGGTACCATTTCCCCATCTTCTACTTGATTCTGCGTCTTCCTCTTCTTCAATCTATGATCTACTTTTTTACCATTGCTTGTTTTGTAGGAGCCAATAACAGTGTTTGACATCCTACCACCGCGATTCTGGTCATCTTGGTAATTATTTGGCTTCGTGGACAAGGTTTCTGAATTTTCTCTCTGTGATGATGACCCTTCTGCCTTCTTACTTTTACGGTTGTCTTTCTGCCTTTTGGAATTGCGTGCTCCTATGGCATGTTGATTTGGCAATATAATTGTTGATTCATCTTCTTTATCGAGCACTGAATCCTTCACTGGTCTGTCATGATCCTGTAATTTTCGTTTTCTACCCTTTCCATTGGTATGGAAACCTGGAACATGGGGTTCTTCATTTTCCACGACATTGCTGTCACCATGAGCAGCAGCCTGCTGCTGAGACAGTATCTTTGTTCTCCGAAGTTTAAGTGTTTTAACATTATCAACAGCAAACTCCACAATTGGCCGATGTTCAGGACCAAAAGTTTCTTAAAAGTCAAGCAAGATAACATTAGATTAAACTGGAAATGAAACAGTAAAACACCATGTAGTCCCACCATACAGCGATCAGCAAAAGAATTTACCTGGATTATTATTAAGAACTCTTAGAGCCACAAGGGCATGCTGATGCTCTGAAAATTCAACAAAGGCAACTCCACGTGAATGAATTTTTGTAACCACCTTTCCTTTCTTCACATCCTTCAAGAACTTTATCTGCATAGGAAACATAGCACATTAAATGATGATGATCGTTAACATTTTTTGTAACCACCTTCAAGTCATGACCTACTCAACCAACCTGCCGAATTTGAGGTTTTTGCTTGGTGGCCCTAGAGGTAACTGCATCAATGCAAAGCTTCTTGAGCTCTTTTTCAGTCATCGACTTCGGTAAGTTGTAAATAACAAGTCTAGTTCTCGAAACATGAAAATTTGGTGATTGTAGCTTTGTTGCCTTTTTCCTTTCCAACCTGCAGGTTTTCAAAACTGAAGTAAGGGCACTAAGAACCTGCCAGAGGAATTATGATAATTAACTGATGCTCCTGATAGAATCTTTAGAGTAGCCATCACAAAGAAGATCAAAGGCATAAAATAACAATTTAGAATAGCATGTAAAGATTATCTTTGTTTTCTAAATAATTGTGTGTCACTTGCATTCCAAGTAAACACTCACTCCTGGCGTTTTAACATATCACTGGCTGAAACCCCTTCAGCAGCTGGAGTTCCTTCAAGAATGAGTCCTTCCTATTACCATTCAGTAGAAGATAAAAGTTAGTCCTATTTGCATATCAGTTTCGCAACCAGAACAAGGGATAGGAAAGACAAACCTTTGCCAGGTAAAGATTGCGGTGGTCATGATTGTCATTTTTGGCCTTCTTTAGTTCCTTGTCATGAGCCGATTTCTTATCTAAAGCCCTCAAAACTTTTAATGGCCTACCTTTAAGAAGTACACCCAAGCCAGAAGCTGCATTAGCAGTTGAAACCGCAGCATCAGCTGCATCTGCAGTTTTAAATTTGAGAAAACCAGTTCCCCTAGGCCGTCTGCATTGAAAGACAGCAAGGCATGAATAAATAATGAAAACCAAAATGCACGAGAAGAATATGATACGGGACATACTTGGTCACCTGGTGGAGGACTGGAACAAAGTATTCCACTTCCCCAAATCCAGAGAATCGTTGTTTCACTTCTTCATTATCACAGTCAAAGGGAAGATTGCTTATGAAAACAGTTCTCTGCAAATCTTTTTCTTCTTCCGTTTGCTTAAAATTGGATATCTTCCTTCTGTCCAAGATTTCAGGCTCGGAAACACCTGTAACCTTTTCTAATTCTTTAGATGATTTTTTATCTGCCTCGTTAACATTTTTATTGGATTTTGATTCCTTGTTTTTCTTGGGCAAAACAGAATCATCATTTGCAGATGTTCCTTTGGTGGAGGATGTGATTAGGCTCTTAAGAACCTTTTTTGCAATCTCTGCTTCCTCATCAAAGTTAACTTCAGATGGTACATCTTGTTCCCGTGAGGAGCTGGAGTCATCTCGATCAGTATCATCTTGACGGGCCTCTATGCCTGTTTCCTCAACATCATGCTCTGAATTGTCCTCAGAACTACTACCATCTTCATCTGTCATCTCATGTTGTCCTGAGAAAATGATAAGAGATTCTTTACAAATACTAATGCAGAGTAATTATGACTGACATCTGGCATTTCATTATGTTTTGTAGAAGAAACTGTATTAGAAAGGGGAGAAAGTACAAAGTGTTGAGGATAAGAACTCCTCAAATCAGAAAACAGAACAAAATAAAACACAAGAACAGAACAATACAACAAAAGGACCTAAATTATCTCAATTTCTTAAGCCATAGATAAAAAGAGTTAGTACTACGGATTCATTAAATATGAAATCAGCATACTTACTGCTCAAGTCTGAACAGACACATTACATGCCCCCAATTTTAGAACACCAGCTCTTTATACGTTCAAAAAAAGATAGAAAAAAAAATTAAAGGGAAAACATAACTTTGGGTACCTGCACTTTGTTCGAGTTTAACTATAGGTCCTTGCACTTTTTTTTTGGTGTTCTAGGTCTCTCTATGAGCGAGATTAAAGGGACTTAGAACACTTAAAAACAAAAATGTAAGAACCTAAAATACCGAAAAAAAAAGTGCAGGGATTTATAACAACACTTTTGCAAAGAATAAGGACCCAAAGTTATGTTTTCTCAAAATTAAAACTTGTTTAGAGTAAGTATGGCTGATGGCAGTTCAAAAGTTGAACCGCAAACTTACCATTTTCTAAAGCAAGTGTTGCATTTGTATCACTGCTATATATCTTCTTTGGAACAGTCCAATCAACAGCTATGAGCCGTTTGCCAAACTTCGATCCATTAAGCTTCTGAATAGCCTGCAAAATGGCGTGGGAGCTTTAATCACCTCATTTAATGAGAAAACAAGTGTCCTAGAACACAAACTTGACAAAAACTAAAATTCATACATTTTCTGCATCTTGCTTGCAAGTGAATTTCACAAATGCAAAACCCTTTGACAGTCTGCAAAAGGGAAGGGAAAAGGTAGTATAAGAAAATAAAACATAACACTACATTGAAACAACTGAATTCAGGAAATCAGAATATACTCTGTATCAGACTTGCGTGGAATAAATACATCCCACACAAACCCTGCAGATGAGAACAGTTCTTTTACTTCATTTTCCTTGGCCTGCACTGATGTTTAGTCATATGGTCAGAAACCATGATCTCTGGTCTAAAAAAAAAAAAAAAAAGTTTACCAAGTTCTGTGATCCCAGGCATCAAACCTTGAATGGAAGATTTCTTACAATGAGCTTCCATTTTTGAGTCTTCGAGCCCTGTCCACATATAACAGAAAACTTCTCAGGAACCAACATACCAGTGGATGCACATGTTATGTAAAGAGGGAAAAACTACACGTGTGCTGGTTGAAAATAAAATATAAAAAAGTAGATAATAAAGCCTAACACACACTTAAGTCCAACTTCTACCATGTAACAGATTATTAAATGACGTTAACAGAAGTTCAGAATTCCCAAAAAGTCAAAGTGCAAATTAGGGTCACTAAATAGCACAATTCAGCATAGTTGAAACTTGAAAATGAGTGCATCTCCACGTTTCAAAGAACAGATTTACTCATCTCCGTTTACACAGTGGAGTAGAACTCATGCCTTAGATGTTACATTTTAAGAGCTTAAAATGTGGCTTCAACTAAGCTGAGTTTTCACTCATCTCAAATAAGCGCTTAGTTAAAGGTGAGTGCCATTCCACATTTCAAGGAACAGATGCACTTTGGCGTTTAAATCCTCATGCATAACACATCATGTAAATATTAAATTATTATTGGAAAGGATAATGGTTAGGGCATTTTATAGTGGGCTTTAAGTGTAGGGCTGACTCGTCAATTTTGTAGTGGGCGTGGGCTTCCCACAGTAGCAGATGAGGGCTTAGAAATATTCTAGATTAGGGTTATAATATTATATATTGTTGCTACAGTGTCTTGGAGTCTCTGTGGAGAAATCAATTTTAAATAATTTTAGCGTTTTATTTTATTCTTGTGTACCAAACTAGCATTGTGTAATTTTCAAGGAATGAAGCCAATAGTTACTGCTACTAGAAAGGCAGAAATTAACCAGTAGCAGTAAACTTTAGCTGTGCATTTCTTGAATAAAAATAAGAGAATATATAATAGGCTTTCCAGCTAAACTTTTAGCAGATATTCCTTGCATAAAATAAGAATGATGTCCATGCACTTCACCTCTCCACCCAATTGACGTGCCCAAACAGTTCCTCCTCCAATTTCCTTTTGATGCAGCATTGCAACAGATGCTCGTGCTGATTTCACACTTGTGTAAAGTACAGCTGAAGCATTCAGTTTACATCCATCTTGCAAGAGACCTGGAAAAATGTTATAGTGAACTCTAAATCTCAGATAGTATACAACAACAACAACAACAACAACAAGCCTTTATCCCACTAGGTAGGGTCAGTTACATAGATTGCAAGATGCCATTGTGCTCTATCATTTATCAAGCTTTTAGGAATATTATATGTGAGAAAATTCAATCCCAAAACCATCTCTTTAGCAATTTCAATAAATGTTAAATTTAAAAATGATTGTGTAGACATCAAACTTATAGCACCTGCGTCTGAATACGTAAAATTTATACTTACCATGCTGCTCGAATTCTTCCCTAGGAAGGGGGTACTTTACAGAACACACACTGCCAATCTCCCTTGCTCGGCTATGAACAACTTCAGCCATATCCAAATTGATAAGACCGCCAAATATGACAGTTCTAGCAACCCTGCCAAAAAATAAGTAATAAATAAATAAAATTATATAAGAAGGAACAGAAATTTTATAAATGAAATTCTAGTTTGCACAAAAAAGAAAGACTTCCAAATAAGAATCCTATTATTCATTATAATCAAAACAACGAAACATTCTTTTCCCAAATGAAAACTTGATGGAAATACAAAGGAGAGAATAGTAAGTACCTTTGCTTTTCAGAACAACCCCCCTCATCTGCTATGTCACTACAAAGAACTGCTTTTTTCACTTCATTAGGCTTCCTTGAATGGTTTTCATTATTTGCAACTGAAAATTCCCAAAGAAAATAAATGGATATATAAGATGGCTAGCTAAATTAATACACAACCACGAACAATGCGCAGGAGCATTATCAACCTTTTTCCTTGGTAACTGAAGAAGGCTTCTTCACTCCAGACAAGCCACCATCATTGTCATCATTTTTTGACTCTGGGATTTCATCAGCATTCTCCCCTATAGCAAGATAAAAGTCAGAATCAGAAAAGAAGACAAACAAAGGAAGAAAGAATATCGACAACATTCAGGCATTTGCACGTCTTGCAGAAAGTATGAATGTGTGTGTCTAATTTTTACATATATTGCAGCATGCTGAACTAGATTTAAGGTAGCAATAACCTTGATTTGACTTTGACTGTCTCGCTTCACGGGGAGGACGAGGCATAGCATGCTTCACTGCAATTTTCCGACCTCCAACAGATGAACCATTCTTCAACTCAATTGCACGGATAGCATCTTCCTCAACAGCACTGAGAATGGCAGCAATTAGTGTGTCACACACACACACACACAGACATCATGAATTATGATTAAAAAGAAAAAAGCAAAAGAACTAAGAGAATCTGAATCAGCTCTTTATTTCGATAGCCAAATAAGTTGGGGGTCAGTTTCCTGCAATGAAACATCAGTCGCAAAGCACAGCAATTATCTCCAGTAACAGATCTCACATCATTGAAGCAGCTGTTATATGTAGAATAAAGTTTAAGAAAATCCTGTAATTATATATCTTGTCTGTCCTCTTAAGGAATTTTCATGAACCACAAAATGCCAAATTGCATGAGTAATAAGGTCCCAGTATCATGGAGGTTTACTGATACTAGTTCACTGCCATAATTCATGTTTGTCAGATAAGTGTTCAAGCTTAATAGAAGCCTCAGTCTGATTAATCAATGGCAGAAGCATAACTGATAGCATGAATTATAAGAACTATAAGAAATAGCATAAGCTACAAGTCATAAATTCAAAATCTGGGAAACATGAAGGCAAGAGATATATCAGAGCACCACAAATCTACTAAGACAAATACCCAACTGGGTGCCAGGTGGGTCCAGCATAAACAAAATAAGAAAGGAAGAAAAGATGAAGAATAAGGATGAAAATATACCAAAACTTATCAAGGCAGAATAAACTTACAATTGAACATAACCAAAACCTCGATGATGGGATGACCCTATGATAGTTAAACAAAGGAAGAGATATCAGAAATCTAAGAAAAAGACAAACACAGATTAAAAATTGTAGCTCAACTTTTGCTGACAGTGGTACAAATTATAGTATTATAAAAAAGTTGGTTTATTCTACGTCTAATATTTATATATGTAAATAAATTGTTTGATGTAATTTCGTGCTTTTATTATATTTACGATTTACGATTTATGACACTAACAAGAATTCCTTAATGTTACATGACTCAAAACAAACCCGAGTGAAGTCAGATCAGAAACACAATAAAATTAAAAATGTACTTATAACAATATTGGTTCTGTAACTTTCAAAGAAATACCAGCACAGTAGCACTTCAATACTGGTGTCACAAGATAGATGGTAACACGTTTCACCAAATAAAATGCACGTATATATGTCAGTTCCACGGTTCAAATGATGAGGCACAGATTTGAAAATACCAATTAGTAAATTATAATAGGCACTAAAAACTTAGACCCAGAAAAGAGCCTCCAAGACCTGTTCAGCAGGTAGAAAGTAGAAACACGGCCATTCTCTCCTCCCAAGTTTAATCGTTTGGTAGTCATGAACACAGTAAAATAGATATGCTCAAGCAAGTGAAGAACTGAAATAGTTCCGACTCCTACTTGCAGTAAGCAAAACATTTTGTGGAAAAGCTCTGATTACAAAAACAAGACGCCTGAACCACCATAACTCAGATGAAATTTCACTAAAAAAAAAAAAAGGAGTAAACATTTTTCCCCACCCTTCTGCATGACCATGAAGCAGCGCCTGATTGGTCCAACTTCGCTAAACGCCTCCTCCAGCTGATATTTTTCACAAAAATGTATACATGAGCAGACAAATTGTCATCGAACTCAACGGTTCAGAGTTTAAGACGAACAAGGGAGAATTGAAAGGCATGTACCTGAGAATTGGTGAATGAGTAGGGCAAGTTCGAGACAAACACAGTCGAGGGGCAGTGCTCTTTCCCACCACTTTCCTTCACTTTGTTCTTCCCCATGTTCGAACCCAAGGAAGACACTTGACAGGCAAAAATTGAAGATGTACACTGCGGGATGGTTGCAATATCGTATTCAGGTCAGAAGAACAGAAAAATCATTAGAAGAAGGCACCCGCCGGCTCGAAGAGGATCAAAACGAGCAAGAGCCGTGAGCAAAGGCGGCCCGCAAATGAAAGGGTGGGAATTTCCTCAAGCAAGTGTCCGATTCAGGTCTCAGCTGTTGCGCGGGGTTAAGGGGTTTGGTCATTTGGTCTTTGCAAGCGTCTGATTCAGGTCTCAGCTTGTTTGGTTTTCTAAGACTGTTTTCAAAACAAAAACAAAAAATTAAAAAATTTCATTTGAGTAAGTGTTTTGAATTTGATTATTTTTAAAATTATTTTCATTTTTCGTTTTTGAAAAGAAAAATTTTATTATATTTTTTTGTTTTTAAAAAATATTATAATTAATTATTAAAAACTACAATTAAGCAATCACTGTTATAAGTTATTATCATTAACTATCAGCAATCAGATCAATTTTAAATTTTACATTTGTTTTTAAATCAATACAATTAAATAATTTTTTATTTTGTTTTGAAAAATAATTTTTAAAAATAAAAAATGAAGTGCACAGACAAACAGACTCTAAATTTTTAATATTTCCAAATTTGGGGCTTAGTCCAAACATATTGATTTTTTTTTTTTTGATTTTTGCATCATTGTTATTGAGAATAGTAAAATTAAGTAAAAAATTTCCTAGGGCCCATTTGGTTCATGGAAATGATTGCGATGGAATGTATTGTAATGTTGATTACAATGAATCTGTTTAATACGTTATATTAGATTCTTGAATATAAATTAATTTATTCATCCAATTTAATTAACACAAAAGCAAAAAAAAAAAACCAAAATGACCTAAACCGAAAAAAAATCCTCCTTCTCCCGTCGTCAATTATCCCCTACCTTCATTGGTGTAAAAAAAAAAAAACACCATCCTCCTCCCCTTTCACGTGCAAGAAAAATCCAATAGCAAAATAAAGGAAACAACAAAATAAATATGAATTGAAAACAAAACAACTAAAAAGCAAGTGCTCAAGAAGATTCAAGTTCAATTCCACGTGTCTTAGATCTAGTGAGTTATAGATCAAGGGTGATGAGTTTAAATGTGGGAAAAGAAGGAGGTTGGTAAAAATTGATGTAGATGAAGAGCGTAATACAAAGGCAAAGAAAGAAGGGTTGTGACAGAGGAGTTCACCATAACACCGACTATTTCAACTATGTTATAGGTCAACAGTAATAGGGGGACAAATAAGAGGGAGAAAGGAGGAGGTTGACACTCAAACATGAAGGGGCATTATTGGATGAGTGTGTGGGAATGGGTATGCCATTAACGGGGAGGGTTGGGAGTGGAATACCATCGTGAAGGAGGATGGTGGGATAAAGTAATGAGACAAGATAGAGGTATTTCAGTATAAAGGTGAATTATAGGTAATAGGAATGGGAATTACATAGGTCTAGTAGTATAGTCCCTACTATATCATTTGAGGCAATACCCTTTACATTTTGCAATCCCCTTTACATTACAACGAACCAATCAAACAATGTGAACATAAAGAATATATCAAGACTACATGTAAGAATGTATCAAGATTACATATAATCCTGTCACATTGCATCGAACCAAATGTCCTATTAATACTTAATTGAGAAATAGTCTTTACATTTTTATGTCATTATTTTGAGTCTCTTAAGTTTTATAGGTCTAAATGTTAGCATTAGTCATCACTTGTGGAGTTAAATCTACTAACGTGTACATAACTCTATTTGATTTTGCTAGCAAGTTGATAAAGTTATGACGAGTTAAACATCATATGAGCAAAGTGACTCTTAATCTCTCCACCTATCTACCTTGGCTATGTGTTTTCTTCCTTGTGAAACTTCACTCGTAGCATATTTTAAGGATTATGATTTGGTGTTCTATTTTTTTTTCTTTTGCCTTCTACTCATGTCTCATACAACTGATTATAATTTTAATAAATCAATATAACAAGTGATAAAATTTATGCACATTTTACTTACTATTAAGTCATCATGGTCATATTTAAAAATATAGAAACTAACATTATAAATAGATAAAGCTTGAAAGACTTGAAATAATAAAACAAATATATAGAAACTAATGTCAAAACATGCTAAAAGTTGTATTTTCCCATTCAAAAATATCCTCTAGTAAATAGTCTTAAAAAGTTTATACTCCCATTTCATGATTTACAGCCATCAAAATAATAATTTGCATACAAAATTCACTAATTTGTAAAGAAAAACTTGTCAAACATGCAAACATTTTCAATAATTTACTACTTACATAACCTTACTTGCAACACTCTACGGGCAGTACATGTGAATCTACAAATATAAACAATTTTTAAATAATGATATATTTGATAAGTTGTCAAATTAAACATCAGCTAACTTTGGGCATGTTTGGTTTTTTATTTCATTTTTTATTTTTAAATTTTTTTGTGAATTTTTTCCAAAACAAAATTAAAAATTCAGTTAGTTATATTTATTTAAAATTCAGATTTATAATTAAAAATTGGTTCATAGCAATGGTCACTGCCAGTTAATGATGGTGACTTATGATAATAATTGGCCAAGATGGTTGTAACTTTCAATAAATCAAATACAATATATTTTGAAAACAACAAAAAGAAAAGAAAATATCCTTAAGCTATTTCTATCTTTTAATTTTTAAAAATAAAAAATGAGAACAGTTTTAAAAATAATTAAATTCAAAACATTTGTTCAAACAATTTTTTTTGTTTTTTGTTTTTAAAAACAATTAAAAAAACAGAAACCGAACGGATCCCTTAATTGCAAATTTTCGTCCCGAAAGTTTTTCAACTCGCTATATGGGATTGCTTTTACCAATGATATCGTTACAAGAACAGAGGAACGTCAACAAATTTTTTTTCGACAACCCATGCATCACACTAGGATTTAATCTAGGTTTTTTCTTTTTTCTTTTTTGACAAACTATGTATTTGTTGATATTGATTTAACCTAAGATTGGTAAAAAAATTGCATGAAACAATATCCGAGTAGGCTTGGTTCTATGGTGCAGCAAGGATTTTGTATTTTCAATCATGTATTCAGTATCACCCTGTCAGTTAGTAGCTCTCGAGTGTGGGAAAAAATTTACTAGTTCTGTAAAGTTTTTTTATCTTCCATCCACAATATCAAACAACGTAATTATTTTTTTATGGAAGAATTGTATTTAAAGACCTCATAAAAAAATTATTTATAAATAAAAACTAACAACAAGTTATCAGAAAAAAAGTCACTTTTATCATTCTAACAACAAATAATTTCATATTATTCTCTATCTGTAAATAATTCTTTTTAAAAGGCCTTTTGATATGATTCTCCCTTTTTTTAGTCTGTTGTTTGTTTAGGAAGACATACACCCGCGTAGATTAATGGTTTGGAATTTGAGAGTATAGTTGATATACTGCATGCAATTGTATAATGATATCATATAATCAATGAATTTTATTGAAGGTAACTTTAAAAATTTGCCAGAATCAACTACCTTTAATTAACTTAATTAATTTACATAAAGGTAACGCTAATAGAAAAACCAGAGATAATAGTTTAAATTTCAAAACCTGTACAAAATTTGCACGATTGCAAGCATAGTTTGTGTAAAATGAGCAGAATGAAGTCATGAAAATGCTCGTGTGATGGCTTTTAAGTAAATGAAGAGGCAAGAAAGCCCAAACTTTTTTTTTTAATAAAAAGATCAAATATATTACAAAGATAAAAAAGAAATTTATAATATTATGTATCTCTAAACTAAGCCTAGATGAGAGCTTAAATGTATCAACAACAAATGAAACAGAAGCAAAACAAGAAATTAAGGAGTCAATATCATAAGCAAGGACACATGAGATTAAAGATCTTTATTGAAGAGTTTGCAGAAGCATTTGATTATGGCAAATTATATGAAGATGACAAGATCTAAAGGAGATTGACAAATTATCATTGATAATCCATGAGAACATCAAACAAAAAAGAACTAAGACTGAAGAGTCTTGAATCTGTTAGAATTAATAGTTGCTAGAGAAAAGATTGCACCTCTTGTGAATTTTGCACAATGAAAACTTGACAAAAGCAGAGTCTCTTTCTTTTATACTCATAAATCCAAATCTTCCATCCCTCATAATTAATGCGAGAGTGGGAGGGAAAGAGGTTATCAACTCCATTGCTTAGAACTGGACTGTAAGACCAGCGATGAACGTTAGTTGGATAATGAACAATGCTAACAAAATCATTCATTACCTTCGTAGGAGAGGAAGCAATTCCATTATGAAAAGCTGCATTCCTATTTTGCTAGATTAAAACAAGCAGAATAATGATTTGCAAAACAATATCAATTTGCCTTTCTTTATTTAAAGCAGGAAGCACAAAATTCAACTAAAAATTTAAGCCAATCTGGACAATATTTAAAAATTTATGGTCTGTTTGGATAACCCTCAAAAATATATCTAAATTATATTTGTAATGTGTTTTTATCAAATTTAACAAAAAATTAGATACTTCAAATATACTCTTGCTATATATAAACTGAAATTCAAACTCAAACGAAGACTTAATAAATAGGAAATGTGGTTTTGGCCAAAAATGAGAGCATTTAGGTAGGTACCTACAGGTTGTTAGGACAACCAAATACACAATACCATCCCACAAGAACTAACAATTTAACGAAACAACAAATCGAGCATCTTCTGGAATTTCATCAATCACAGTTCAATGGAATCTCAACATATCAGTGCTAAAAGCAAAACCAACCTCCATCAGGAAAGAACAAGTTATTATTTATTTATTTTTCACTGAGGTCGTTCATAAAACAGATTTTAAATTTTAAGTTACGCAGAAAGTCAGAAACCAAAGCCATTGATATCTCTCTTTACCTCCTTCATCAGCTATTTCTACGTCTACATCTACTGGTCTACCCATGTAAAAAGCTGCTAGTTTTTCACCTTTTGCATTATTTGGTAGCTCAAAGTACAGTTTTGACCCTCTCATGTCTCATTACTTTCACGTTTCCTTCTGGTCTTTTGGTATTTTCATGGCAACAGCCCAGTCTGACGCAATCTCGACCTGCTCCAACAGTGATTTTGCACCAATCCCAGAGCCAGAAAAAGAAAAAAATAAAGGAGAAACAAATACCAGAGCTCCAAAACCTCGCAGCGTCCGCAATTGCCTTTGTCATCCTTCTGCTTCTTCTTCGTCTTTATACAGTCTCTTCCCTTCTCTGTTCTCTCTCTCTATCTCTCTCACTGCCTTCTGAAGAAAGTCCACACACACACACACACACATATTTTTTTACTTTGGTTCGTACACCTGTTGGTCGGAACTAGCTTCTACGCCGGCCGGTGAGAGAGACTTTCCCTTTGTGTTATCTTTCTGCGGTGAATTCTTGTCTTTTGTGTTCCGTGACCACAGTCCTGCATCACATGCGACGCTGATGCGTGACATGTTCGCTTTAAATTGCACCTAGCGACGCTATTCATCGTGTTGCTGTGTTGAGTGCAGTATCTGTATGTGTGTTTTATCAGGTGACTAGAGGTGTGCGGATGATGCTTTAGGAAGATGGGCATGTAGGTTTGGTTAAGTCCACTTTTCTGAGTTAAAGTGGCTAGTTAGGCTTTTAGTTTGAACATTTTTCTTCTTATTGTTTTGAAGAAAACAAGTAGTGTTTCTGGCTTCTTGGTTTTTCTCCCTGAAACTGCCTTTCTCTGTCTCTCCGGTCGAAGAGAGAAAGAGCAAGTATGAGCTTTCTGGTTCTGAAACCTAAGTTTGTTGGATACTTACATAGCCTCTGCATCTTCGAGTTCATTCTCCTTGGAGCCTGCATTTTAGTATCATTTTTGAATTTCATTATATTAACTTAAACGTGAATTTGAGTTAGACTGGAATACCTTGATAGTACTCTGTGTTCCTTCTCCCCCCTGTAAGTTAACTAACTATAAGTGGGAGTTTTTTTTCTGAGTAAATGTTTGATCCTTAATGGAAAAGAAAAGACTCCCCCCCCCCCTGGGGGGGATTTTTTCTTTCCTTGCAATTTGGTGTTCCTCTGGTGTTTTAACTTTTACGTTGATTAATTCGAGTAACACATGCTTCAATTTAGTGTATGTTCATTCTGATAAAAATCAATAAATAATAATTTACTTTCATATAGTGGAGGAAATGTCTTGATTTTGACATCATTGAAATAAATCTGTTCTGTGATCTTTCGATTCTATAACTCCATTTAGTTTAAGCAGAGCCAAGCCAAAATTTCAGCCATGAGACAGGAGCTCTTCTAGATTTGGTTGTATTTATAATTATTAATTAATTCTGTCCATTGCTTCGTCCTGAGATTCCAATGATCTGCTTGATAGGAAAGAGAATTTTTGTTTTGCCTTTCCTAGTAATATTTTGATTTACTTGAATGTAAGTCCATTTAGTGTAGTCTTGATTCTTACATCACTTCACATATATAAGTTTCACGTTCTTTAGCCTTTACCTTGAGTTTCACAGCATGTGACAAAGTTCAGTTATGATGGTAACAAGTATGCATATTTGTAGACTGATTTTTTGCTTCCTTTGTTTTTCCAGTTTATGTACAAAGCCAGGTAAACCTGAATTTGAAGATCTGCATTCTGCTATTGAAAGGAGCCAGTTACAATGACCCGTTCCCTCTTAGTACTGGTGACATGAGCTGCATAATGATCTGATCAAGCGGCAGAATTCAGCTTCTGTGTTGGTACCGGTGTGACTTTGAATCACCATTAGTGTTCAGATACCTTTCGCTTCATTATATTGTGAAATCATTCTGTGCATGTTTGGATTAGCTTACAGCTATAACTGTCATAGAGTATCAAGCGGAGGGTTTTGAAAGTATGGCAACTTATTTGCCAAATTCATTTTCTGAGACACCGATTACCTCAAGTAATATAACGTTGTTTATGAACACTGGTTCATATCCAGAGGCATTCACTGGCAATTCTCAGGAGCAAAATAGCTGCTTTGTTATCCCACCAGCCACAGAACAGCAAGAAATCTTAGCAAATCTTGGTGGGTTGCAAACTGGGGACTATGATTTCACTGCTTGGAGACAAGGGAGAAATGAGATGCTAGTAACAAATCCAATGGAAGGACATAACTTGCAGAGCCAGGGATTATCTCTCAGCCTTGGAACCCGAACTCCAACAGGAATCCAAGTGTCTCCTTTCCATGATCAGAGTTCCAATCCAAGTTTCGATTCGTTTTTAGGTCAAAATCCATCAATTTCAGGCCATAAAAGCAGCTCATCCAGGCATGAATGTATGAGGCACAGTGAAATTATGCCACCTGATTTACCTGAAGCTAATCAAGTTTTGAATAGAGGGGATTATTCTTTGCATGGGATGTCGAGTGTTTCAAGAACAATTCCTAATTCCAAGTACCTCAAGGCAGCACAAGAGCTACTTGACGAAGTTGTTGACATCCAAAAAGCAGTAAAACAACCCAATGTGAAGAGTCATGGCACACGTGAAAAGAAGACTTCTAAGGAGAATGATCGAAGACAAGAAAATGAGATGACACCTTCTAATGGAGAGCCTAACCCTCAAGATTTAGCTGGCAACTCCTCTTGCGAGCTTTCGCATGCTGAAAAACAAGATCTGCAGAACAAGTTAACAAAGCTCTTGTCAATGCTGGATGAGGTATAATCTATATTAAGTTGAGTTTTGCTCTTCTATAACTGCAATCTCATCACACAATTGATCATGACAGTTCTTGTATACCTTTAGAAGAGCCCAAAATTGTCAATATCATTGTTAATATTAATATTCAATATAAAATATAAAATTAATAGCAATATGAATTATTCATAAGTTATGAACAGCGCAGTACATGTGGTATCCGATAGTTGGCTAATTATAAGCTACATATATATGTTCTGTTTTGCAACTTGGAACTACTAGTAGTGGTATTCCAAAACTCTTGGCAGTTTATGAACCTTAATTACATGATAGGGTAACCCAAGAGTAACATATTTTCAAACTTTAAACTGTCGGAATTTTTTTTTTTTTTTTGGAGTAATCGTAGTTTTAGTTATTTTTTACAAGTACTGATGTCTCTCATGACCATAAACTCTCAGGTGTAATGCTCAAGACTTGGGAATGAGATAAATTTGATAACACCTCGTTTTCCATTACCCATAAGATTAACAGATGCTCGACCCGTAACTATGCAGACTTGAGCGTTAACTACTGTTTCAGACGTGAACATTCATAAAATCTTACGTCATAGCTGATGGAGGACCAGTACTATAAACAAACTTCTTGCTGACACATATCTAATTAGTCAATTGTCCAATAAATCATAAATATTCTTATTATAATTAATTCCTAACATTTTATCCTATTATCTTACATTCCTTTATCCCATTCTTCATCAGTCATCACATGGCCCTGTGATCTAGTACAGATTAATTGTCTGTGTTCAAGTATGCATGCTAAATAATCTGTCTTTTCTCATAATGGCATGCATCGTGTTGGTTACCGTATTGTTAAGTATGGTCATGGTTAAGACCATTTTCTAGGATGTTCTAATGGCCACCATTCAATTACCACAGGTTCACAATAGGTACAAACAATATTATCATCAGATGCAGATTGTGGTATCGTCATTTGATGTGATAGCAGGACGCGGGGCAGCGAAACCATACACGGCACTGGCTCTCCAAACCATTTCACGTCATTTCCGGTGCTTGCATGATGCAATCACCGGCCAAATCAGTGCGACACAGAAGAGCCTTGGAGAGCAAGATGCTTCAGGAAATAATAAAGGAGTTGGAATATCAAGACTCCGATATGTTGATCAACAAATCCGGCAACAGAGGGCTCTCCAGCAGCTTGGAGTGATGCATCATGCATGGAGGCCACAAAGGGGACTACCAGAAGGCTCTGTTTCAATTCTTCGTGCCTGGCTCTTTGAACATTTCCTTCATCCGTATTCTTCTTTCTCTTGTTTGCTTCTTAGATATTGTTCCAAGTCTTTCCGTGTTTAGTTATCTAATTGCCACATTCTCTTGCTTCACAGCTACCCGAAAGATTCTGAAAAGGCAATGCTAGCAAGGCAGACAGGCTTGACTAGAAGTCAGGTAGAAATTTAAAGCCATTTCTTAGCTACTTGCTAAGATAACTACTTGTATTTTAATAAGGAGCCCCCCCCCCCCCCAAAAAAAAAAAAGAACATGGGACATGTTGAAGAAGAAGAGCAAGCTAACTGACTTTTTAATTCATTGCCATAGGAATTCCAGATGATGGTGCAAATTATATGTCTATAGCGGCAGAACCATCTGATGGCTAGAGATACTATAATCATAATCATTAGTGACACTTTATGCATGATACAGGTCTCAAATTGGTTTATAAATGCACGAGTTCGTCTTTGGAAACCTATGATTGAGGAGATGTACAAGGAAGAAATTGGCGATGCTGACTTGCACTCCACTTCTTCAACTGAAGATGCATCCAAGGTAAGCAAAAGTGATGTCAAGGTCTCCGATGATGGGTGTGATGATTTGCAACAGAGCCAGAGTTCAGTAGCCGACAAGAATAGCAATGTTGGACAAGCTAAGGACTTGAGATCTGATAAGCAAACTGAGGAGCAGCAAAGGCTTAGCTTTGATGACTGTAGTGTCTTCCAAGGTGACACGGTTGTTCAGACCAATGAAGGAAGTGCTGGGTTTATAGCAGTTGCTCCGGCATGCCAGATGTCCGAGTTGGGGAGGTTTCAATCTGGAAATGGGGTGTCACTGACATTAGGTTTGCAGCATTGTGAAGTTGGTGATTTTATGTCTGGTGAGAGCCGCCATAGTTTTGTTGTCATGAGGGAGGATGGCATTTACAATGCCGCCTCAGCTGCGACCATTGGAGCTCAGACATCAGAACTTGATTGTGTTGCTGCTGGAAACCAGCACCAAAGGTTCACCACGCGCCATTGATGGCATGGTTTTATAGCATAAAGACAATCTGTGGCAGTATTGTGACATGCAAAATATATAATATTGTGTCTGATATGAGTATATCAGACACAACCATGTTGCAATCCTTATGGGAGGAAATGAGTGATTAGTGATCACTGATCTGGGCCCTCTTGCTTGACAGTGACAAGACGACACTGTATAGGAAGCAACCCATCAACCCATCAAGGACAAGGCAGGAACTGTTGTATTCTATCTCGAAATTAATTGGACGATTTGCTCATCCAAGAAGGCGCATATCTTTAGCTCGTTTTGCCAAAATGGAGAGTGTAATGATAGGATTGATGAAGCTAGACCATGTCAAATACTCCTAATACTCTTCACAAGTACCCGTTAACTATTTTGCCTTGATTGAAGAAAATAATTAAAATTAGTCAAGCGTGAAAAACTTCAATATTTTTCTAAATTATCCTATGAGGAAAATGGTTAAAGTTGCATGTTTGTTTGAGTCATAAATGTAACATTAAATTTTATAAAAGATTGTACTAAAGATCAATGGGAAGGATCTCATGAATAGAATTGTAATTAACACGAAAAATCAGATCAGATGATTGTTATGCTAGTGATGGCATTAAATTTACCAAACATTATGGGAATCTAGTATTTATCGGATGACCATTTTATATTCTCGCCAATGAAATATTGCAACAATAATGTACACCCCTACGCCCTGGACGAGGAGGCCGTCTCGTAAGTCATAACACAAGCTAAACAATTGCTAACCTACCTCGGCTTTCAAGTTAACTAATTCTTCGATTGGCATGCTGCCAGCATCGCAATTCATGCTTGAACTCATAACCAAGACTAATGGCTGTTGGTTGTTACTTGTTAGCACATGAACAGAATCCCACTCTGCTTTAGTCAATAAAGACGCGTTTAGGGATTAAGAGAGAGGATAACCCACCTGTACATTACCAGTCTCCCACGATTGAGCCCCACTTTCTCTGTTTTTCTACATCGAAACTTTCTCTGAAGTTGTTTTAAAGGATCTTTGTGCTATTGAAGCAGTTCAGAACCTTGGTTTCAAGCCCTCATGTCATGATGTAAATAACCGCAAGCAAGCCAATACAAGACTGAATTTTCTTTTCAAAAAGGAAAAAAAAAAAACCGAGGGCATCGAAGGAAGGGCATGCCTAATGATCTAAACTACTGAGCATTTACAAAACTATCAGGATCAAGTTTATGGAAACTTAATTCCATTTTCTCCTACATCAAATTTGACTGTACGTTAAACTGTGCAATCGCAAAATACCTTCAGTTATCCTCACCAGAGTATCATGGCCTACATGAAATATACACAAGATATTGTTAATGTTAAGAGAGAACTGCATGGTTGTCATATACTTCGTTAAAAGGTAAGGGAGGTTACCACTGACCTTCTATGCAGAATTTTTACATCATCCCTTATCAATGGACTTTGCAGAAAGAAATCACCACATTGTTCCACATCAATAGTCTCGACTTCAAAATCACGGAAACCACAATACTCATTCCATTCGAACCACATTTTTGATATTAATTCCTTCTTGAAACAAGTGTCATGGTCTTCCTGTTCAGGAGAATCAGCAGCTATCAACCGATATGCAAAGACTTTCTTTGTCTGACCTGGTCGGAAAGCACGGCCAATTGCTTGGCGTGTAACAGATGGATTAAGATGAACATCCAAAATAATTATGCGTGATGCCCCAACCAGCGATATGCCTTCCCCACATGCCTTGATTGAGCCGAAGAACACTTTAGCATCCGGTGAATTGTTAAACCGCTCCATGGACCATTCTCTTTGTTCAGAGCTTGATTCACCTGATATAACAAATACTTCTTTTCCAGGACTCCATCCCTTCCTTTTCACAGTTAATCTTTCTAAATATTTCAGAGGTAAGAGATATTGGCTAAAAACTAGAAGCTTCTCCCCACTTGATTCACATAGGCTTAGCATTTTAAGAAAGAATTTCGACTTTACCCCATCGTCCACATCTAGGCTCTCTATTTTCTCATCCATCATGTGATCAGATACAGCTGAATTCTCAGCACAATTTTCTGCCATAGGCTTTAATTTAGGGTGAAGATAAACAGCACTTCCTACAGAACTTATCTTAAACTTTCTGGATAAGTGCTTTAGTTTATGGACTTCATGCTTCTGTCGGGGAGTGAGATTGAGTACAACTGCAAAATCTACAAGGCCAGGAAGCTCATCAAGAAAATCTCCTTTGTAGTAATGAAGTACCTGGCTTGTCATCTCCCGCAGATCTTGAATGACAGCCACTTTCCTTTTAAAATCAGGGTCCTTCTGCAAAGTGTTTTCTACCAAGTCACAGAAATCCTTTACGCCTGGTACATGTACTCTACTCTTAATTCGCCTGACAATAGGTCGAGATGTCTTTGAACGTATAAAATTTGGGGGACGAACAATGTTTAAAATGTTAAACACCTCTTTGACATGATTTTGATATAGGGTTCCTGACAATACAACTTTCCTAGGAGTTTGAACCTTAGTAAGGGATTGAACTATGTCAGTATTGTCATTCCTTGGTGTGTGCCCCTCATCTAAAATTAGAATAGAAGGAGCCTTAAGCAATACCTCCTGGCAAGACGCTGATACATTGCTAGTTCCAGTATCACAGACAATTGAAGAGAATTGCTTGTATCCTAGGAAAAGAATACTCTTCTGCTCCACCCACTGTTTTAAAACTTCCAGTTGCTGAGACCGACTGTCTGCCTTAGCAGAGTAAAAATCAAAGAGTGGGATGTCCTCCACTTGCCATGTTTGAAACTCCTTTTTCCAAGTAGCCAATATACCCTTAGGAAGAACCACAAGGGGTCGAGCATTAGGATACTTTCCCAGAAAACTTTGCATGAAACTAATTATCATGAAAGTCTTCCCAGAACCAGGAGCATGGGCCAGGATGCAGCCACCAGGATTGTCACCAGCAAGGTTTCGGACAAGAAAATTAAATCCTTCAATTTGATGAGGTTTCATTTGCTTCATATGCCTAGGGTGCGCAGAGATTTCAGTTATCACCAGACCATCTTCACCAAATGTAAGTCCTGATACCTCAGGCGCTGTTCTCTCTTTGGCATTCCATGAATCCGCCATGTAAGTTCTCGTGCTTTTTTTAACCTTTTTAACAAAATGAAAATATCAATCAGGGATTATGTTTTTGAACTCTCATAAGTGTCAACAAAAAGCGATCTTTATCTTAATCCAGCAAATTAATCATGAAAATTACTCATTCTGGTTATAAATATGTGTCCTAAAAACTATTCCAACAATTAAAGCCTTGCTTCAATTTAAAGTTTAGATGTTTCAAACCATATGCACAAAAAGAATTTTGTACATGGCAAAACAAATTATCGTTTTCCCTCTCCCTTCTTCTGTGGAAATTTGGGAAATTAATTTTGTTCAATTCCAAGCACCTTTTTCCCCCTTAATTCATACCCAGAAATCTCTTTACCAACTAGAAATATAATGCAGGTGTGAAGATCTAACCTTGTACTGGAATTCAAATATGGTTTCGATTCCTCTGTCGATAACCCCACAAACACGGCAAACATAACCAAGATCATCTTTTAAAACATAAGAGTGATCACAGTCACCACTTCCCTTTTCAACTTCATCATATGGAGAATCCATAGCAACATCCTAGCAGAAGCAGAATTAAAATAAATTAGTGCCAGGGAAAGGATGCAATTGGTCAGTATAACTAAGAAAGTTAAAAATTTGATCAGACGTGAAAGACAGATTATCCCCATTTTCCACACAGATGTACATCAAAGTACAATATATGCAATCTAAAGTTGTAATAATAACCATACAAATGTACTGAAACCTAACTCACCATTGTATGCTTATAGGTAATTCTCCTTGGTAGAAAAGGAAAGAGCATACTTACCATCTATACATTATAGTGATGCTACATTATACAAAATGCATACAAGTAATATATCAGAGAAAGAGAGCTAGAGAAAGTTCAACATACAGGAGACCAGCAAGGGGAAAGGGGGGCTAAATGTCATGAAGGCTTTGAAACAAACTAATATTCCGTATGCATTTTTGTGCACCACGTCTAGCACATACATGGAAAATACTCTACTGAGGTGGCTGATAGAATAGGGTGTGTCATTTTAGGTTTAAAACTAGAGAATTCTTTACATCTTTCTTATGAAGTCAGTAAAGTAGTGTTGATAGCCCCACTCAGAAAAGAAACAACATTACAATTTATTACATGCCAATCTATTTCTCCACATTTGTCCATTCTCCCTTTTCCCTCCCTTTGTGTATCTCAGCAACTCTTAACATAGAATATTTAAGAAGCAATAAAAACAATAAAATGCAAGGAACATGTGCAAATACTTAAAACAGAGCAGGGCACATAAAGTAATTAAACACTGTCACATTTGCTTGTGGAAACACTTAAAAACAGAGCGGCATATAAAGTAATTAAACACCATAGCATTTTCTCTTTTTGAAAAGTAATAAAAAGTAACAAAATCATACCTTGGAACATTCTATTGCCATTGACATCTCCCTCCAGATATCTTCTAGGCCATCATCCTTTGTATCAGCCTGTGGATCGTCTTCCTCTTGAACACCAATAAAAGCACCTTTATCTTTTCTAATGTTGTCTTTGTCAACGAGAAAAAGCTCAGGTTTTACATCTAGACTTCCAGCATGACACCCAATAGGAGGTTGATATGCATTGGGACCATGGTACTCCTAATAATAATTGCAAATAGAATATCAAAGGAAGTCAAATCAACAAAAGAAAAATTAACATAAAAAAGATATAGCATATCATGGTAAGTTGCAACAAATACAACATTCACACTTGCCATTAAAAAAATACTCAGACTGTCAAAATCCTATAACAGGAAGCAAACTATTTCTACATGTAGTAATCAAAAGTACATGTTTATCTCACAGTGAGCGTGTTTACGTCCAAACATTAAAGTTTGGAAAGACAGTGGATCACAATCTACATAGGGTCACATGAGGAGAAAATTCATCTGAAATGGCAAAGGTCACAGTACTAAAAACAAAGTAATCGTCATTATACTGAGCCAGATCATATGTCAGGAAAAGAAGGAGCTCAGAATTTCTCATGATTTTTGCCACATCTCACAACTTTACTTCAGCATCATCACACGCTCATCAATGATTAGTTATGATTCATCAAAGCTTGGTTACACAAAATAATAAGCTCCAATGCCCTAGACAATCAACTCAATATGAGAATAGAGATAAACAACATCTAGAACACCTCCCAAGTATATATTTACAAGAATTATGCTTTCCCTTTCCTCCAACAAAAACTCAACTAAGATATGCTTCAATCAAATTAATTCAGTGCTTATGCAAGGAAACGTTATACTAACACTTTCAAAATACAATGCTCA